GGCTGCCAGAGGGATGTCTGATTGCCAGCTTAGGCCCAATTCCCCAGGGAGCGGGCCTAAACCAGCAGTTGGTCATCCCCCAAGGGGTCCCAGACTGTGAGAGGCCAGGCTGAGGGACCCCCCAAAGTGCACAAATTTTTGTGTACCGGGCCTCTAGTCCAAAATAATCAACAAAACACTTCTGGAACTAATAGTGATTATAGAACGGTTGTAGGATACAAGGCAGAAGGTTAATCACTTTCCTGTGCACTACTACTAGCAATGAACAAGTGGAATTTTAACTTTAAAACACAGTATCATTTTTTAAAAAAAGAATAAAACACAGCCCTAGCTGGTTTGGCTCTATCAGTGGATAGAGCATCAACCTACAGACTGAAAGGTCTTGGGCTCGATTCCAGTCAAGGGCATATGCCCAGGTTACGGGCTTGATCCCCAGTTGGGGGCGTGCAGGAGATAGCCAATCAATGATTCTCATCATTGATGTTTTCATCTCTCTCTCTCCCTCTCATTATCTCTCTGAAATCAATAAAGAAAATATTTTTTTAAAGTATATGAGAAGATTACTTAGGTTATATGCAAAGCCTACACCTTTTTACATAGGGACTTCAATATCCATGGATTTTGGTATCTTTGGTATGGGGGAGGGGTACTAGGACCAATTCCCCAAGGATACATGCAGGGCCAGGGAACCTGCAACCAAGGTACATGCCTTTGAACACACACTGACCACCAGGGGGCAGACGCTCAATGCAGGAGCCCGGGACCCTTCAGTCCACAGGCCAATGCTCTACCCACTGAGCCAAACTGGCTAGGTCAGTGACGGCGAACCTTTTGAGCTCGATGTGTCAGCATTTTGAAAAACCCTAACTTAACTCTGGTGCCATGTCGCATATAGAAATTTTTTGATATTTTCAACCATAGTAAAACAAAGACTTATATTTTTTATATTTATTTTATATATTTAAATGCCATTTAACAAAGAAAAATCAACCAAAATAATGAGTTCGCGTGTCAACTCTGACACGCGTGTCATAGGTTCACCATCACTGGGCTAGGGCAAACTAAACATATTCTTAACATATAATTCAGCAATCACATGCCTTTGTTCAGAGTTTTATAGACTTTCTCAACTTCTGTCAATCTGATGGATTATAAAAATCTCAGACCAAAAAAATCATAAGCCACCTGAGTGTGCATCCACAAGAAACTGGTTAAATTCATCAGAGGACAGCTAGCCAATGGGATACCTAATACTGTATTCATAAAAAGGAACAAGGAAGTTCTTTTACGTGTGTGTGCGCGCGCACACGCACACCTTAAATTTACTTTATTCCAAAATATATTTTATCTAATTTTAAATTTACATAAAGTCTATGTGAATTGAAAATACTCCTTAGGGTTGGTTTTATAAGGTGGGGGAGGTTTCATAAATTAAACCTCAGGGAGGAAAACAGTAAACTGTCCCCTCCTCCCCCACCCCCCCCAACACTCCCCCCACACCCCACCCCCGCAACTGGGGTTCAGCACTAGGGTCTGTGATTTTGATCCCCTGGGGAGCCAGAAGCAGCTACATTGGCAGAGGGAGAAAGCAGAAGGTCCTTGGGTCCAGATCCTATAAGAACTAGGGGTTTGTCAGCTTTGTTGTGGCTGAAACCAAGGAAAGCAGCTCAGCTCAGCTTCCACTGGCGCTCAGGTGGCAGCCACACAGTATCCCAGGGGCCTCCTGGCCTGGCCAGGCGCTGGCACCAGGTCAGCCAGGCTGGGTAGGGGCGGGGTGGGGATCACTCAAATGAAGTTATTTCTTCACTGATGTGGAAAGATCCTTAAAATATACTCATTAAAACATTATATACTCATTAAAACATGTTTTAGCCCGGCCAGAGGTCTCCATTGATTGAGCATCATCCCATGCACTCAAAGATTGTCGACTGGATTCCCAATCAGGGCACATACCTGGATTGCTGGTTCAATCCGGTCAAAGTGTGTGTGGAAGGCAAGCAATGGATGTTTCTCTCACGTCAATGTTTCTCTCCTTCTCTCTCTCTCTCTCTCCCTCCCTCCTCCTTTCTTTCTTTCTCTCCCTGCCTCTCTCTCTCTCTAAGCATGCCCTTAGATGAGGATTTTAAAAACAATTAAGGTGCAAAAGAGGTCTATAAAGTATGCCTCAATTTATGTACGTACTGGTAAATTCATAAAATACCTCTGTAAGGACACAAAAGAAACTAAAAACATGTGTTGCCCCTCTAGAGGGAAATAGGGTAGTTGGAGGGCAGGGGTGCTAAAGAGACTTTTGTTTTGTTTTAAAAAAGCTTTTATATCTATTGAATTTGAATCTTGAGAATATAAATAAAATATAATCCCTGTGCTCTCCTTAACTTTACGTTCAAAGAAATCAGAATAAATAGCATAACTCAAAGCACAGCAAAGCATTTTGCTTTCTCGTCAAACAGACTTCCCCATGGAGACCCCAGGGCAGGGTGGGGGTCAGTCAGTGACAATCGCAGTGGTAACTGCTCTGAGGACAGCTGAGTCGCCTGGATCGCAATCTGATCCAGGCTTCCCATGTGCACAGGAGAGCCTGGCTCCTGTTCCCGCAATGAACGCAGGCATTCACCAGGCGTAGGTTACGTTTCTTTCCAGTCTTTCACGGAACTTAACCATCTCTCTCCATGAGAGCACTTCAGTCTCTCTTCAGCCCAGGGAGCTTTTCTTGCTTTCCTCCAGCGTTCCTCTCCTCCGCCATCTCCCCTCCCTCTCCTACCCCGCCCACCTGCACATCAGCTCTTCTGATCTCTCCTGTGCCGTTTGCTGCCCTTCTGTTTCAGCTCTCCCCACCGATGTTAAAGCCTTCATGGAGGATTTGGTTTGGAAATCCTCTTTTTCACCCCCAACAATTTTCTCTGTTCACAGATTATTTCCTCTTTCCAACTGCAGTCTTTTTTCTTCTTCTTCTTTTTTTAATCACTACAACGTCTCTCCAACGTCACTGAGAATACCAAGTAGTGCCCTGGCAAGCGTGGCTCAGTTGGTTGAGCGTTGCCCCATGTCCCAGGGGGTCCCAGGTTGGATTCTCAGTCAGGGCACATGCCCAGGTTGTGGGCTCTGTTCCCAGTAGAAGGCAGCTGATCAATGGTTCTCTCTTATTGATGTTTCTTTCTCCCTCTCCCTTCCTCTTTTTAAAATATATTTTAAAAAGAATACAAAGTAGTGTTGTTAGGTCTTTATGTTTTTATCTTATTATTGCTATTCTAAGTTTTCTGTTGCTGCTGGTGCTGTTTAATGGATAGGGAGGGCTCCTTCATGACTTAGGAATGTCACCATGGGGATATTTAGAGGCTCAGCCGGAGACCCCAGAGTCTGGGTTGCGTCAGGGTAGCTGCTTTAAAACACTGTCCCCCACCACCCACCCCCTTCCCAGGACAATCCTGTTTCCCCAGCGACTTCCAGTGGGAAGCCCCTAGCCGGCAGCCGCTTCGAAGCCTTTGTCCACTAGGTGTGCCTCAAGCGGGGCACTGGGCGCAGAGCTCCCCTGGGGGTCCTAGCGAAGCCAGGAGAGTCTGTCCCGGGTACTCTCTCGCGTGCTCTTACCTTCCCCGTGTGTGGGGAACAAGCCGCCATCCCTCCCCAAGGGCAGTTCTAACCTTGGAGAGGGGCTCCTGGTCGCCCCAGAACTTCTTTTCAGGAACTGGTTGCTTCTGGGGCACGTTCAGGTCCATGGCCAGGGGGTTGAAGGAGGACAGCGTTTGACTCCGCCGAACCTCCGAGATCAGCCTCTGGAAGCGGCCAACAGCCCTGATCAAGGTCACCCAAGGCAGCTTTCTGCGTCCCGGTGCGCCCTCCAGGGGCGGCTGCACACTTCTTTGCTGGGGCGCTGTCTTCCCATCCTTGCCCCCGTATTTTAGGGAGCTTGTCCGCTTGTTCAGGTATTTTAGGGAGCTTGCCATCTCACCCTTGTCCGAGTATTTTGGGGAGCTGGTAGGGCGCGGTGGCTGGGAGGCCATCTTAGAGCAGTGCCTGCCAGTGGCCAGCAACCGAGCCTGGCTGAAAACGGTGGCCTCACGTGCCCCGCGCCCTGTGCCCTGCGCCCCGGCGCCCCTGCGCCCGTGCCCCGACACGCCGCCCCTCCCCCAGAGGCCCGGCAATCTCGCTGCTTCCTCTCCTTGGAGAACAGAGGCTTCGAATTCTGGGCACAAAAGGCCCCAGGTCACGAGTGTGTAACCTGCGCCCCATCCTCAAGACCTTGCTTGTCTTCCTGGCTCCCTCTCCCAGGACTATCTGTGTGTCCTCGGCCTCTCTAGGGGCTCTCAGTCAACCCACTTTATGTCAACAACAGAGAAATGGTCATTAAGGTAAAGACTAGGTTCTGGATGGATTAAGAGGTAGTAATTAGGGGCGGGGTACACACAATATGCAGAGCACGAGGGAAATTCCTGTTACAGTGCCAATGAAAATAACAGGACAAAATGTCAAGTGCTACTCAGGTGGTAGTCCTACTATTAGAATAAGACTACGGGTATTACAAAATATCCAGGGTTGCCATCTCTGGGTGGCAGAAGTGCTTTTCTTTCCTTTCTCCTTTAAAAATTGTTCTGATTTTTCTATGATATTATTTTGATAATATTAGAAAACTCTGTAATTTACGTTTATCAAAGGTCTCATCAGTGCGGAGGAGGCAGCCTCAGAGAAGGGCCCGGGGGTGGGCCCATACTTTCTGACTCTTGGTCTTGGTGCCTCAGATACATTGGTGACTTCTACTCCGAGAGGCTGAGGATCCTGGCACTGTTCCACCCATGGATTCCTGGCTGCCATCAACCACCAGAGGGAGGAGCCAGACAGGGGGGAACTGCAGGAGGGCAAAGGAACCCACCACCTCCCCCTACCCCAGTCCTAGATCAGTTCAGCTGTCCTTGTCTGGATTTGGCTTTCTTCATAACAAAATGAGAGAATAGTCTTTACTTTTCATTCTTTTTTAAAGTTTCAAGAGATAAAAAATCAAGAAGGAAATAGAAAAATCCATTTTAATTAAACTGTACAGTCTGAATTTTTTCCTTGACACTAACTGAAGTTAAAAATAGAAGCCAATTTCTGTGACCTTCCAAGGCAGCCTTTGAAATGTCAAGGTTTTAAAAATTATTTTACAGCATGAATTTACATATAAATACAATCTGTACAATGTATTAACTGAGCAATCAATGGACTTCCATCATGGAGGAGATCTGGTTTCGGAACAGGCCAGGGCAGAATTCAACTACTGCCTCCTTAGGGGAAGATGTTTTAACCTGGAAACAAAAGTAACAGAGAGAAGGAAGTTAGATATGAACTGAAAGGCCAAACAGCTCAATTTTATTCATGCTTCACTATGCTATGACACTGGGATGCAGGGTTTCTTTTTCATCACTGCTAATTTACTCACCCTGACTAATACTGGCTATACACTTGGAGAAAGTTAAGTGGTTACACTGTTCTGTTTGAAATTTAAAAAAAAAAAACCACTACAAAAGCCTGAAAACAGTTTACATATATATAAAATCTTGAGTTAGGGAAGGCCTTTAAAAGACAAAAATGAAAAACATACCAAAAAAATTGGTTAAATGAGTGCATCAAAAATTAAAGTTTCTTGCAAAAAAAAAAAAAAAAAAATTAAAGTTTCTGTACAACAAAGATAGTTAAAATTATGACAGGTAATACACTTAAACACAAAGGATTAATATCCAAAATTATTATTTTTTAATTACTAAAAACCAGTAAAGCAATCTCCTAGGAAACAGAACACTGCAAGTACATGAGCAAGCTATTCACAAAAGAGCACATGGCAGAGGCTGAGAAACACAGGAAAGGATGCCCAACCTCGTTAGTAATCCAGGAAGTGAAAATTAAAATGAGATGCCAGTCTTTACTCATCACACTGGCAAACAATTCTGTACCATTTACACTTGATGTAATAACAAGGTGCTCTCATAATCTAAACTGATACAGCCACATTTGGAAATAATCGGGCAGTATTTATTCATGCTAAATGTTCACACTCTATGCTACATGAAATTATATTCTTTATATTAAAAATGCAGCCCTAGCTGGTTTGGGTCAGTGGATAGAGCATCGGCCTGCAGACTGAAGGGTCCCAGGTTTGATTCCAGTCAAGGGCACATGCCGGGTTATTGGCTGGATCCCCAGCGGGGGGCGTGCAGGAGGCAGGCGATCAATGATTCTCTCTCATCACTGATGTTTCTATCTCTCTCTCCCTCGCCCTTTCTCTCTGAAATCAAAACAAATATTTTTTTTTTTAAAAAGAACATAACAAAATGTATATGTGCACGTTACCAGTGTATAGTTAAGCAAAAAAAATCTTGTAAATTACATGTGAAACTAACAGCAGAGGTTACTGTAGAAAGAGAAGTTTGGGGAATTGGTCAAGGGCCACTTTAAGATTTATCTGTAAGGTATGAATTTTCACAATGATAACATATTCACATATTACGTATGTAATTAAAAATTAACTTTTCAATAAGCCTATTTAATATGCAAGTTTATCATTTCTGATGTCTGCCTCTAAGCAAATACATCAAGATTTTAATAAACCTTTGAGAGGTTCCTGAAAACCACTGTCTTCCATTGCCTACCGTCTTAGCAGTTCCTGGGGTGACATGTCTGCGGTGTCTTCTTCACTCTGGCTGTCACTGCTGTCAGCACTCTCAGAACTACTACTTTTTTCTGACTTTTTATTCTTTTGCTTGCCTTTGTGTTTGTGCTTCCGATGTTTCTTTTTCTTAAAAAAAAAAAAAAAAAAGTTGCTGGAGTACACAAGCACACACACTCACACAGGTGTTTCCCTTCCTAATTCAGTATATGACAGGCTAATGAGGCATTTGATTGCTGGAGTCATTCAAAAACAAAAGCAAAACCTCATTTGGGGTGAACTTTAGCCTAGTGTGAAACAGGCCAGGAGCATTCCGCTCTGCACACTGTCCATAGGGCCCCACTCACAGAACTGACCCTCTAGCGACAGGCACAGCAGAACCAGGCAGATGTCGGCAGGATGCTGCCTTGACACTCAGTGCCCCTCTTATCCAAGGGGACCCTTGCCTCTTCCCATAAACCGACTGGCCCACTTTGTTAGGCATATGTGATAAACTACACATCAGGATGCGAACACCCTGGAAATGCACAAAGTAGAAGCTGGTAAGAGAACAGCAGACACACTGGTAAGAAACCAATTAATTTGGTTTTTGAACCTGTCAGCACCAACTTTTTCCTTTCACTACAAGTGAACTTTCCTCGTCTTCTATGCTCAGGAACCCTTTTTTTCTGATAATCAATCAGGGAACTGTTTTTAATAAATTCCATACTGCCCAGACCACTTTGGGTACCCAACACTAATATTAACTGAATTAAAAGCCAGTGTTGCCCTGGCTGGTTGAGCAACAATGGTTAGAGCAACAACCTGCACACAGTAGGGTCACAGGTTCAATTCCTGGTCAAGAACACGTACCTGGGTTGCAGGTTTGACCCCCAGCCCCAGTCATGTGGGAGGCAATCAATCGATGTGTCTTTCTCACATTGATGTTTCTCTCTCTTTCTCCCTCTCTCTCTCTCTCTCTCTCTCCCCCCTTCACTTCCACTCTCTAAAAAGCCATGCAAAAATTTCCTCAGGAGAGGATTCACACAAAAATAAAAATTAAAAAAGCCTGTGCCTAACTAAAAAGAAGACTTGGCCCTAGCTGATTTGGCTCAGTGGATAGAGTGTCAGATTGAGGACTGAAGGGTCCCTGGTTCGATTCCCTGTCAGGGCATATACCTGGGTTGCGGGCTTGATCCCCAGGAGGGGTCGTTCAGGAGGCATCCGATCAATAATTCTCTCTCTTCATTGTTGTTTCTATCTCTCTCTCTCTCTTCCTCTTTGAAATCAATAAAAATATATTTTTTTAAAAAGAAGAAGACATGGACCATGAGGTAAGGGAAGTCAACACTAAACACATACATTATACATTCAGGTTTTCTTTATTTCAAATACTAAACTATGGACCAACATCTTTATGTAATGAGAAATGTCCAAAGTAACACCTTCATTTAATACTGAGTGAGTGATCCAATAAAATTTTTATTATTTAATACTCAACCATTATTCTAAGATACTTAAATGTCCTTTTTCCTAATTTTGAATAATCACAAATAAAAACTTTTTAAAGTACAACTGAACAAATTAAAATATTCCATTTGAAAGAAAAACAAAGTTTCTGAAAATCGAGGGTTTACAAAGAATGTCTAGTCCACACTTCTGTCAAGCTGTCGAAAAACCCATGTGCCCCCATTTTGGCCGCAAGCCACCCTTCAGCGGGCTTCATGGGGGCTTGTCTGGATGACAGAAGCAGGAGTGACAAACCCCACACACTGAGCCCAGGGCACCCAGAAGTCACTTACCTTCTCTTTCTTCCGTCTGTGCTCTTTCTTGGTCTTATGTTTTTCTTTGTTCTTTTTATGTTTCTCTTTTTGAGGAGCCTCAAGTTTCTGACGAGCATCTGAAACACAAATGCAATAAACACAGGAACTACAGGGGGAAATAAAGCTCAATTCTTGAATTAGGAATATGCCTTAGATGGGATGATTAACATTAAGGCAGAACTCCTGCCCTGCCTCACTGATACACAAATAGATTAGCATATCACGTGTTAGCTCTATATAGGGAGTTCTAAAACATGTATACACACTCTTTGAATAATTATAAAGGCAGAGTTTATTAAAATACATTTGATTTTCAAAATTGAGCTATCAGCCGTTACAGTATGTATACATTTTTGGGGGACACCCTGCATTTAAAAACTGCCAGAAACATCAACATAAGTCCTGTCTGATCCAATGAGCATCTTGGCAGATGAAGACAAAGTCAGACTAGAATGCCCATAAGCTTTTGTAATTAACATCCTAGAGTAAGCTCAGAGTCTGAACCTCAGCTGTGTCGCCAGCTCTGTGATCGACCTTGGGCACCTTGCTTAACCTCTTCAAGTCTCAGCTTCCCCTTCCATAAAACAGGGATAAGAAGAATCCCTAACTCCTTAGGGACATAGAGAGGATTAGATGGGACTTCAAACAGGGATCCCATAGCCTGGTATCTGGCATATAAGCTCCTCTCATATCACCCACCCTTCACAAAAGCACATTCAACATGAATTCGTCTTATAAGTAGAAACACTAAAACACTAGCATCAGAGCAACACAATATATGTAATCATTAAAATTACAAGTTGCAAGCACCTAAATTCTCCACCTCCAAATTCTGACCAAAATGTTTTCATAGGTCATTAATTTCCTGGTACCCAAACCCACAAAAATTCATAATAGTAGAAGCAGTTTAAATTATTAAATCATCTTTTTCCACCTAAAGAAAGTTCCAACTGTTTCAAGTATGGATATTTTCCAAACCCAGTTAACAGGTGTCTGCAATTTTCTATTCCTATAGTTTGGTCATATTTTTCAAAAACTGACCTCCCCAACCTTTATTTTTTTAATTAAAAATTATTTTTATTGTTGACAGTATTACAGATTCTCCACCTTCCCTTCCCCCAATTTTGCCCCATGCATTCAGCCCCTCCCCACTCCCCAGCCTTTCGCCACTCTATTGTCTGTGACCAGGGGCTATGCGTATACATACATGAGCTCTCTGGTTTATCTGTTCTCATTCCCCACTGCCATCCAAGTTATGTCCGTTTGTTCCATGCCTCCACGCCGTGGGACTTATTTTGTTGGTCGATTTATTTTGTTCATTAGATTTCACATGTTAAGAGATCATGTACAGCTGTCTTTCTCCGACTGGCTTATTTTGCTTAGCATAATCCTCTCCAGCCCAGCCGGTGTGGTTCAGTGGTTAAGCACCAACCCATGAACCAGGAGATCACAGTTCAATTACCAGTTAGGGCACATGCTGGGGTTGCAGGCTCAATCCCCAGTAGGGGGCATGCAAGAGGCAGCCAATCAATGATTCTCTCTCATCATTGATGTTGCTGTCTCTCTCTCCCTCTCCCTTCCTCTCTCTGAAATAAATAAAAAAAGACTCTCCAGGTCCATGCATGCTGTCTCAAAGGGTAAGAGATCCTTCTTTTTCACAGCTGCATAGTATTCCATTGTGTACATGTACCACCGTTTTTTAATTCATTCATCTACTGATGGGCATTTGGGCTGTTTCCAAATCTTAGCTATTGTAAACAATGCTGCTATGAACATAGGAGTGCATATATCCTTTCTGATTGGTATTTCAGGGGTTTTAAGATATATTCCCAGAAGTGGGATCACTGGGTCAAATGGCAGTTCCATTTTTAATTTTTTGAGTAACTCTATACTATTTTTCAAGTGGCTGCACCGTCTGCATTCTTACCAGCAGTGTACTAGGGTTCCCGTCTCTCCACATCCTTGCCAGCATTTATTGTCTGTGAGGTGATATGTCATTGTTGTTGTTGTTGTTTTTAAATATATTTTTATTGGTTTCAGGGAGGAAGGGAGAGGGAGAGATAGAAACATCAATGAGAGAGACACACACTGATGGGCTGCCTCCTTCATGCCCCCTGCTGGGGATCGAGCCTGAAACCCGGATATGTGACCTGACCGTGAGTCAAACCCAGGACCTCTTGGTCCCTGGGGCTATGCTCAATACACTGAGCCACACCAGTCTAGCTCATTGTGATTTTAATAACCTTTTTTTAAACGCTATTTTTTTTTTTAAAGTGGACTTTTTTTTTGTTTTGTTTTGTTTGTTTGTTTTTTATATATATTTTATTGATTTTTCACAGAGAGGAAGGGAGAGAGATAGAGAGAGTTAGAAACATCGATGAGAGAGAAACATCGATCAGCTGCCTCTTGCACATCCCCTACTGGGGATATGCCCGCAACCCAGGTACATGCCCTTGCCCGGAATCGAACCCGGGACCTCTCAGTCCGCAGGCTGATGCTCTATCCACTGAGCCAGACCGGTTTCGGCTAAATGCTATTTTTTGAAAAACCATTTTCCCTCAATAACCCACAGACTAAATTAAGTTATTAACTATTCTAAGGATATCAAGGACGATCTGAGAAATGGGCATAAATAACTTAGCTTTTAACAGCTAACACACACATTTTTTTTTTTTTTTAGCTAGCACACTTTAAGGCAAGGGTCCTCAAACTTTTTAAACAGGGGGCCAGTTCACTGTCCCTCAGACCGTTGGAGGGCCGGACTATAGTTTAAAAAAAAACTATGAACAAATTCCTATGCACACTGCACATATCTTACTTTGAAGTAAAAAAAACAAAACGGGAACAAATACAATATTTGTATGTGCATGTGGCCCGCAGGCCGTAGTTTGAGGACCCCTGCTTTAAACTAAAGATCTGAGTAACTGAAGCAAATAATACATTCACTGCAACTTTTCAAAACTTCACACTTTTTACTCCTCTCTGCTTCTCATCATCTCTTTGGAGGCTGAATTAACTAAAACAATATTTATATGTGAGTGCTATAGGAAACTATAGAGTAGATAACAATTATTTATTATTCATATACCTGGGGCCCGTTATCAGAGGTTTTTTAACCCAGTTTTCAGAGAAATGACAAACCAGTCCAAACATTTAAACATGAGAGGTCAATTTAAGATGGCCCTGAACAGAAGTCGTTAACAGCCACCGGAGGAGGAAGATGGGCTGTATTTACTTCTGAAAGAATTAATTTTATTTTATTTGCTACATTAGCCAAAGTATAAAAAAGTCTCAGGATACCCTACTCCCTGCAATTCCCTTCTCATCTTTGTGTCCTAGGCTTTTACTTTTTATTTCTATAAGTGACAACATTTGAAATAGCTGAAAGTTAAAAAAAAGAAAGAAAAGCTTCAAGGACTCTGAGGCTGTAACGCAACAACCATCACTTAGGTACTAGATGGTGCAATGGGTTTCAAAATGTGGCTGAGAACAGATAAACCAGCAACAAATGTGTGCATTTGGTTGGCCTCATGTTGGATTAGATGGGTGGATATAACACAGTTAGAGTTGTCCCATTTCAGGAGACAGTCTGGTGCCAGTGCAAACAGGTGAACCAAGGAGCTCTGGACTCACTGGGGCAGAAGACAGGAGGCAGCCGAGGGCCGAACTCTTCTCTTTCGTCTATCTGCGTCTTCTGTATCACGAAGGAAGGCGCGGGCTCCTGGGGGGCCGGCTCACTAGCTGAAAAACACCAGGGTATTAGCTTTATATATCTGTCAAATATTAATGTATTTGAGTCTTTAACTAATGTCTGTTGCCACCAGATAACATGTGCCTTCCTTCACCACTTGGCTTAACTAGCTCACACCAGGTGCTGAGGACGCAGGTGTGGTGAACCATGGACCTGACTTCCAACCTCATGGGCTTTAGAGCTGGGAAGTCAGTCACACAAGGGCACAGGCAACCAAATGCATCAGTGTCTGTAACACAGGGATATGTATGGCATCCCGACCACCTACTGCAAACTGAAGGGTTGAAACATATCCTCGAAGAAGGGTCATCAGAGAAAAATTAAATTTATAATCAGGGATGTAAGACTATGCCCCAGCTCAGAAAGTTTAATTTCACTCAAAATGAATTATCAAAGAGGAGAAAAACTGAATATAAACAAATTATCATGTTCACATAAATAATATCATTTTTTAAAACAGATGACTATGTTTTCAAATAGGAGAGATAAAAATAGAAAAAGTCTAGAAACATAAGCATCAAAAGTGTTCAGGATGGTTATCTCTGGGAACTTAAGCTTTCTATATATTTATATTTTTAAAATTCAAATATATATGACTTTGTAATAAAAATATAAGTTGAATTTGTTTTATAGAAATAAAATAGAGGCTGACATTTGCAATCACCTAAGAACAAACAATATTTTATACTACTATGTAACTTTTTGGTTAAAGGCCCTCAAAAATTATACCCACGTCCACCACAGACTGTCAGGGCAGGCAGAGCACTCTAATTTTGTCCACACACCCACCCCCAAGCAGCTGAAAAGTCTTCTACCCTTGCAAGTGCAAGACGGCCTCCTCTCCTGTGCCAGCACTCCTGGCTGGGTTAAACAGAACAAGCAGGGTAAGCTACTGACCAGGTGTTAGAGTAACGAGGACAGACCCCATCTGCCAGGGCTGGTTGATCCAGAGCACACAATGTGCCCTTCAGAGAGGACAGCTGGAAGAGCCCTTGTAGTCATGACTAAATGTCATCCAGCAATCCTAGCACCTCCTTGTCAACAAGGTTTTGAAAACAAGCTCAGTTGGTTAGAGCATTGTCACCACACACCAAGGTTGCAGGTTCAATCTCCGGCCAGGACAGGGCACATACAAGAATCAACCAATGAATACATAAATAAGTGGGACAATAATAGATGTTTCTCTGTCCCCACCCCTTCCTTTCTCTCTAAAATACATACATACATAAATACAGCTATTTTTAGATAAAATATTTACTATTCTCAAATCTTCTCAACTAGGATAAGTAGGAAAATCAACATTATCAAACAGAGCTATCCTAAACATATACCAGAGGTTTATACCAAATAAAACAGAACTCTGGTCTGCCCCAGTTAAAAATGTAGAAGATTAAAACACCACTGACTGCTGTTACCCTGGTTTAAAATTACACACTGAGCAAAGCAGCAGCTTCTCTAGAGACCTCACCATTCTCTCCTTTAGATCCCAAAGTCTGAAATCCTGACGTACTGGGTGCCACAGACGGCAGTTCCTCCTGGGAACTTTTGAAGTCAGCCTCCCCGGGACCCTCCTGATCATCCTCGCTGTCGCCCTGTTCATCCTCAGAGGATGAGGACTTTTCTTCAGAGGAGCTGGCAAAGATGGCCTTGAATAAGTCCATGGATGGACGGCTCTCTCCCGCTTCAGTCTGTGAATCCACATCTTTGTTTACCAGCTGTATTAACAGGGAAATAAGAGTCAGGAATGAAGAAGAAAGAGTGAAAGGAGCCAAATGTTCTAGAAAACACACACACACACACACACACACACACACACACACACACACCCCGGTGTTCATGTTCGTGTACATGGGTCTCCACACTCACATACTGCATAACTAAACAATTATCACACACAATATTTATTTTTGTGGTGTTTCTGATTCAACAACTGCAGGATGTGCTGAACGGTAGAAGCAGCTGAAATTTCTCATAGAGATAAGTCGTTAATCAGAAATGCAGAGAAAAGTGCAGTAGGAAATAGCACAGTGCCTCTGCCCTATTTTCAAGAGTCTGTCTGAGCCTTCAGAGGTCCAATATTAAAGGTGCTGAAGACACCTTTCATAAGAAAATGCTGGAGAGAAAACTAGGCCCTCCACACAATGGGGAGGAAGCCAGGAACACGTTGATAAGATGGCCACAAAACCTCTCTTTGCAACTACACATCACTCTTCCTAAAAGAAGCCTAGAAATGGGCATTCATACCAACCAAATAAAGAGCCAGTAACTTTGTATGCACTCAATTCAATCAGCAAATAGCAAAGGTGAGAAGAAGACATAGCTCCCACCCTCCAACAGCGTATCACCAGCCAGACCTGGGCAAACTAATGTGCTAAGCGATACAAGAACCCCAGGCCCAGATCACAATCCACTTCTGTCCTTCCATTTTTCCACTGGAGAACCAGGCTCAGAGATGAGAGGCCCAGCGACTGGATCTGGACTCTACTACCCAGCTCTCCTCTCTCAACCAGTGGGCACTCCTCCATACCACATCAGCTCCAATTTCTACAGCAAAGTTACAAATACCCACAGGAGGAAAATGGTACAAGACAGTGGCATTTGTGGTTTTAAAATAAACTCTTTTCACAGAAATAAAAATCAAAGAAAACAAGTATACCATTCCCCACTAAAAATAGCCAGGCACCTTGGAGACTGATTCTACAGCTGGAACTGAGAAAAATAAAAAGAGGAGTCCAGAAAATCTTACTGAGCTTCATGCTCGGAGAGGAGGAGGGATATATTACAAGGACACAAAACCTACCTGGGGCTCCAGGTAGCCAACCAGTACAATCTGAGTGTTTATTTTTTTTTAATTTTTTAAAAATATATTTTATTGATTTTTTACAGAGAGGAAGGGAGAGGGATAGAGAGTTAGAAACATCCATGAGAGAGAAACATCGACAAGCTGCCTCCTGCACACCCCCTACTGGGGATGTGCCCACAACCAAGGTACATGCCCTTGACCGGAATCGAACCTGGGACTCTTCAGTCCACAGGCCGACGCTCTAGCCCAGGGGTGGGCAAACTTTTTGACTCGAGGGCCACAAGGGGTTCTTAAACTGGACCGGAGGGCCGGAACAAAAGCATGGATGGCGTGTTTGTGTGAACTAATATAAATTCAAAGTAAACATCATTACATAAAAGGGTACGGTCTTTTTTTTTTTTTTTAGTTTTATTCATTTCAAACGGCCGTAGTTTGCCCACGGCTGCTCTAGCCACTGAGCCAAACTGATCAGGGCCAATCTGAGAGTTTAAATAAATATCAATAGCACCAAATTTATCCCTTTGGGTAAAATAGGAAACAAAGAAATAGTTCGATGAGAAACAGGGTATTTATATTTCAACACTTCCAAATACTTATTTAAAATAATTAAGTAAAAATTAATAAGAAATGAATAAAAGTATTTATTAATTAGAAAGGGGGAAAGATGAACTTTACAGTGAAAAACCCTGGAAGGCACCACAGTACTCAAGTGGTCAAAGTGAACATCACCAGTAACGGGGCCAATCGCTGACGGCGCCACGTGACAGGATCAGTGAGAGCACACCAGCTGAGGACTCCTGCCAAAGATGCTGAACCTGAATCTAGTCCTGAGGTAACATCAGACAAGCCCAAATAGAGGAACGTTCTTCAAAATACTGCCTGTAATCTTCAAAAGTAGCAAGATCATAAAACTCAAGGAAAAACTGAGGAACTGCTCCAGATTGGAGGAGGTAAGGAGACTTGACAGCTACATGCTGTAAGTGATGCTGCACTGAATCCTTTCGCTGTAATAAAGGACATTATTAGGACAACTGGTAGACTTTGAATGGGTCTGAGAATTAGACAGCACTTACGTATCAAGGTTAATCTCCTGATTTCAATGGGCGTACTCTGATTACAGAGGAGAAAGTCCTTCTTGGAAGGAAACCCAGGAGTGATGTGGCATCTTAGCTCCAGCGGTTCAAGAAAAGATTGATCTGTACTGTATTTAAGCTTTTGAGATTCTTTAAAAAAATTTTTTTAAATCATATAAAAAGTCAGGAGAGAGAGCCTGACAGTGAAGCACAGGAAATCAAGGTAGTAATGCCCTAGAAAGGCCTAGTCTGGTATATTTAGGGCAAACCACAGATACCAATGTCACATGCACGGACCATGAACTGAACGACAGCTGGCTGACATCTGTGTCCATAGACATTTCTGGCCCTTAATGGTGTCGATATTATTAAATGTACAGGCAGGACTGTCATAAATACATGAGACATTCTACTCCTAGATAACTATACAAGCTGATCTTTTTTGTTTGTATTTTTCTGAAATATAACAGGAGCTGTACTGGAATTAAATAGCAACCACAACACCCACCAAATACACAGCAGCTGCGTTTGCAGAGCTTCCTCACCACCACACCCTCCACCAAAAGGTACGGACATTATATCTGTGCTGACTCAGAAGTTTTCAAAGAAAAATTATTCCCAGTCACCAGTCCAAAATGGCTCCGGCCACCGTGACCCAGCTGTGAGAGATGAGAGGGCTGGGATGGAGCCCCCAGTAAGGATCCCTTAACACCTTTACTCCAGACAGAATCCACGATGGGACGAACCTGGAGCTCTATTACCAACAGAGCAGAATTCCTTACCCTGCCCTGCCCTCCCCTCCCCTCTTCTCCCACTCTTACCCTCCACACTGGTATGGATATGTTTGTTTTTAAAAAGTCACGTTAATAAAAACTTAGAAGCAGAAAAAATATGTATTAAACAACCCAGATCGGGAAAGAGCCCTTTAAGGCCTCATAGCTAACAAGTGAAAAAGCAAGAAAAAAAAAACTTTCCAGAAAAAATTACCTAAATACTATATCAACATGATTTTTTGAGAAAATCTAGAAGGCTCTCTAATCTTCTGACCGAATCACAGAGCCAGAGTCTCTGAGTAGGGTTTTATGCCATTAAAAAAGGTAACAGTAAAAGCCGAATCGAGAAGTTCCAATCCATGGTGGCAACAGCGGAGATGGCAGCAGCTGCCAGGCTCTGAAGGAGGGGAACCTTTTTCTCTGACCATAGAGGCCGTGGTTCCAACAGTCTGGATCAAATCCCACTGCTTTTTTCCCTTCCTGCCCTCCTGCCATTTGACTCCAGCAACAAAGAAAGTCACAGGAAGTATAAGGCAAAACAGGGAATCTAAAGTCCTGGCTTTCTGCCCTGGCCAGTGTGGCTGTTGGTTGAAGCATCGTCATGTACACCAAAAGGTGGCGGGTTCGATTCCTGGTTAAGGCACATACTCGGGTTCTGGGTTCAATCCCCAGCAAGGGCATGTATAGGAGGCAACTGATTGATGTTTCTCTCTTAGATCAATGTTTTCCTTTCTTTCACTCCCTTCCCCCAATCCCCATCTCTCTCTCAAAAATCAATTAAAAAAAAAAGTCCTGCCTGGTGTGTCTCAGTGGTTGAGCGTCGATCTATAAACCAGGAGGTCACAGTTCAATTCCCAGTCAGGGCACATGCCCAGGTTGCGGGGCTCAATCCCCAGTGTGGGCCGTGCAGGAGGCAGCCGATCAATGATACTCTCTCATCATTGATGTTTCTATCTCTCTCTCCCTCTCCCTTCCTCTCTGAAATTAATGAAAATATATATATATTTTTTAAAGTTCTAGCTTTCTGACTGGAGAATGGAAGGAGGAGCCCAGCGAGTCAGAAAGTGTCAGAAAGATCATGAAGAGGAGGAGCTCCTATAACGTGGTCTATGAGCTTCTGGCTCGCCTCCAAGCTATGCATGTGTGGATCTGACTCTAAACAGCAAACCATAGGCTTTGATAACAGAACTATGGGATTAACTACCAGCCAGGTCCCAGACCACTGGGAAGTGCACATGCATATCTGAATATAAAGGCTCTGAAAACTAGACTGACATTTGAACCACAGCCCGCAGAAGATGGGTTGGAATTGCAGGCTGAACTTACTAGGTTGATTATCTGCTAAAGCAAAAGAAAATGAAAATTCAGCATTCTCTTTAGAATTTGAAAGAGACCCAGGATCTCATGACATAATATTCAAAATTTCCAGGATGCAAACCTAAACTACTTGGTATACAAGCAACCAGGAACATCTCAACTTGCAAAAGACAATCAACAGATACAAACCCAAATTGACAAAAATGTTGGAATTATCAGACAGACTTTAAAGCAGCTTTTACAACTGTGCTCCAAGAATAAAAGCAAACAACTGGAAAAATAAAAAGGTCTTAGCAAAGAAATAAAAGATATGAAGAACTAAATGGGAATTTTAGAAATGAAAAATACGATAATCAAAATTAAAAATTAACTAGATGAGCTCATTAACAGAATGCAGATAGAAGAAAGAGTCAGTAAACTTGAAGACAGATCAATAGAAATTATCTGTTTTGAACAATAGAGGGGAAAAGGAACAGAGAGGAGTGAGAGTATGGTACAGGAGGAATATCTGAAAAAAGTAATGGCTGGAAATGTCCAAATCTGGGGAAAGACAATATTAAAGACTCAAGAAGCTCAGCAGAGAGGAGAAACCAAGATGGCAGCATAGGTAAACACCGGAGATTGCTGCCTCGCACAACCACTTTAAAAATACAACTAAAAGACGGAACGGACATCACCCAGAACCACAGGAAGGCTGGCTGAGGGGAAATTCTACAACTAGAAGGAAAGAGAAAAGCATACCAAGACTC